ATCATTCTGTTGCCTGTTGCAAGTGGTAGAGACCACATTCTCATTGTGCACCAGAGCCGTGAGGGAGCGTGTCCTGCTGGGTCTGCTTGTTTAGCTTTTGTGGAGTGATATTCTCTATTAACATAAAGGAACCACGTGTAATAGTGTCAAGTTATTTTAATAAACTAGTAATTAGTTACACACCCCTTTTAATCATATCCTTTTCCCTGCGATACTCTCACACATGATACACATACGACACCCTAGCTCTCTTAATAATTCTTGCCACCATCTCAAGGGTAGAGCTGCTTCACTGCCTTACACCATAAGAATGTGGCGTATGACTCCAAACTGTTCTAAGCCCTCTAGCAATTGTCTCTTGGGTAGAAAGATGACTCCTGGTGCAAGATTACAATATCATAGTGGAAGAGATCATTACTTTGTGTTATTATCTTGGCCACGGCTGTGTTGGTATCTTGTTGTTGGCTCTTTAAGTAACTTAATGTGGGCTATTACAAGTGCAAGGTGCAACTGCAGGTCTTCTGTGAGAACCCCAGTCATTACAAACAGAAACTGAGGACAAGTGACATGGAAAGAGAAAATTATGGGAAGAACAGCAAGACACTTCATACTGGTTTTTGTGATAAACGCAACAGGTAAAGCAACAAAATATTGACTACCAATGAACCGTACGCAGTATTACAAGAGAATAAGAAAAACAAATGTTAAGACTTGCAGAGAGCTTCGAATGTCTGGGTCCATCTGCGGAAAGAGGTGGAGCAACAGAAATGACGGGTTCAGACAGTGGGCCCAAACCACAGCTGGGCCATCCAAATTGGAACCAACAGGAAAACCCTGCGAGAGAACATCTCCAATCTGGACAGAATCTGGAGCAATAAACAAACTAGAGGGAAGGGATAAAGAATCCCTCACAGACCCTAGTCCAGCTGATAGGCATCCACTGCAAAAGCTTTACAATTGGGAAATGGGGCAATGGAAACCAGAAGCCGCCAGTTCCACACTGAAGCGAAGAGGACCATCTCAAGGCAACTGAACATCTTTCAAAGCTATGAGAACAGATTAAGGGAACTCATCCTCACCTTAGAGGAAATAAAAAAACAGATGGAATATGATCAACACATACAAGATCCTATGTGGAATAGGCAATGTGGATAAAGAGTGCCTATTTAAATTACAAAGAGGTGGACCAAGAGGACATCAGTGGAAGCTGGACATGCAACTGAGTCGCAAAGACACAAGGAAGTTCTAGTTTCCTGCATGGGTGGTCGGTACAGTAAGTGGAATGCATTGATGGAAGAGGTTGTTGAAGTCAATTCTATCAACAACTTTAAGAAACAATATGATGAAAACAATGTTCATCAGGGATAAATGGCTAGGAGGCAGGACGTAAAGAGCTAGATCTCACTCCTCCTTCAGTCACTGACAAGTAAACATTTATAGGTAAGCAAAGGGGCAAAAACAAGAGATACCCTTCACCAAAACATTGGACACTCCTCGAATGTGAACTGTACAGAGACCCAAACCTAGAAATCCAGAAGACAATCTACCCATAGAGTCCAGCCCAACAAGGAAAGAGTCCGAAGCAATACCCCACAATTCAGACATTGAATTACCGGGAAGCAAATGTAGTTGAGACAGACTACAAAGCCCAGTGGGGAATGAAATAACAGCAGAGCATGCCAGATTGACACAAACACGTGCACCATGCAGTGTGCCTGACATAAGGTCACAAGGGCAAGACAAACATGAACCCCCAACCCAAGGCTAAAGTGTCTGTGAAGAGATTGAGCACAGAGTGGCTCCTCAGAACAGAACCCCAAAAAGCTCAAAGAGGAAACTGGTGAACTCTGAAGCCATCTAAGGGCTGATGAAGCCCACAGAGAAAATCTATATCTGCCCATCTAAGGGCCAATGGGCAGCAGCAGAGAAAGGGATGGAATTAAAGATAGAATGGCAACCAGAACCAAACCCAACCAGGAGGAAATGCCATATAAGGCACTCTAGCCAAAGACAAGTGTGAGCGAATGGATTTTCACAGCTGTCTTAGTTGTGCATAATGAGTGCACAACAGTATGTAAATCAGTGTGGAATCTCCAGAGTGCACTTTGTCAGACTGTACATGTCTAGATTCTTTAATTTGGGACTGAGGTCTGCCATATTGGATAACTCTGAATACAATCGACTTGATCAAGGTCCAGGATGGACCGAAATGTCGTCATCTCCTCATCTTCTGGTCTGTGGTTTGGTCATCAACTCTGAATAGCCCATGTCATCAGCAGACCAATGGTGTTGCACATTAAGTGTCATTGTATGTTTAGCCCCCAATTAACTAGAGCAAGTTGAACATATCTACAATACACATTATCCGTCTCGTGGCTCCACCACTGGATTAGGCACAATTGCCTTTGTCCCAATGGTCCAAGTGTAGACTGGACTGTTGTACCCATGGGAATGCAGATGGAATCCAGCTTGAGCCCACTATAGTCACCCTACCTCCAGAGTTTGTTTGTATCAGATGTGCATCAATCAAGCCATATGGCCACTAGTGTTGATTACTACGTAACATACTCCAAGAATGTTAAACTTGCTAAAACTTGTTAATTCCATACTTCAGCAATTGTCCCCAAAATCACGGTGGCGATTAAGAATTGAGGAAGGTTTGGAGTGAATTGATACAGTGTTTGTAAAGAGTGAAGTGAACCACTAGAGGCCTACCCCTAACAGGAAACAGTTAACCTTGTAACACTCCCCAACCCCACCTGCCCACCTTTCTGGTAGCATTTTCTTGGTTAGGGCGATTTAAGATCCCCTGCTTCTTATTTCTCTGTAGAGGGGAGGCCAGGTTTTAGTCTCTGGTCCCAGTAGGCTTACAATGACTCACAAGGGTCTGTGTGGATTGAACTGGTGGGGAACTATCCAAGTAGCTAGCACCCATGAGCCACCAATATGAGCCCTCCCAGAAAATTAATGTAAACTTCATATTTTTATAAATTAAGTTTTTCTTTATACATGATTTTTAATTCTATGAATTACTGAAAATTTTCTGCTGAAAAACTTTGTTGTTATAAATTATAATGATATGATCAACTTTTCCTAGTTAATAAAGACCCCTCTAGAAAGACAAATTTTGCATAGCAGGAGTGGACTCTCAAGAGCATCACTAATGTATAGTTTAATACATTTCAAACCTTTCCATTCTATTTCCCTTCATTTAAACTTAAATATGCATCACTCATCTTGAGCAGGAAGAGGCAACTAGGCACTGTTCAGTCACTATTTCCCCCCACACACTCAGCAGTAGTTGGGGACCCTACATGTCAATCACTATTTCCCCCCACACACTCAGCAGTAGTTGGGGACCCTACATGTCAATCACTATTCCCCCCACACACTCAGCAGTAGTTGGGGACCCTACATGTCAGTCAATATTTCCCCCACACACTCAGCAGTAGTTGGGGACCCTACATGTCAGTCACTATTTCTCCCACACACTCAGCAGTAGTTGGGGACCCTACATGTCAGTCACTATTTCCCCCACACACTCAGCAGTAGTTGGGGACCCTACATGTCAGTCACTATTTCCCCCACACACTCAGCAGTAGTTGGGGACCCTACATGTCAGTCACTATTTCCCCACACACTCAGCAGTAGTTGGGGACCCTACATGTCAGTCACTATTCCCCCACACACTCAGCAGTAGTTGGGGACCCTACATGTCAGTCACTATTTCCCCCACACACTCAGCAGTAGTTGGGGACCCTACATGTCAGTCACTATTTCCCCCACACACTCAGCAGTAGTTGGGGACCCTACATGTCAGTCACTATTTCCCCCACACACTCAGCAGTAGTTGGGGACCCTACATGTCAGTCACTATTTCCCCCACACACTCAGCAGTAGTTGGGGACCCTACATGTCAGTCACTATTTCCCCCACACACTCAGCAGTAGTTGGGGACCCTACATGTCAGTCACTATTTCCCCCACACACTCGGCAGTAGTTGGGGACCCTACATGTCAGTCACTATTTCCCCCACACACTCAGCAGTAGTTGGGGACCCTACATGTCAGTCACTATTTCCCCCACACACTCAGCAGTAGTTGGGGACCCTACATGTCAGTCACTATTCCCCCCACACACTCAGCAGTAGTTGGGGACCCTACATGTCAGTCACTATTCCCCCACACACTCAGCAGTAGTTGGGGACCCTACATGTCAGTCACTATTTCCCCACACACTCAGCAGTAGTTGGGGACCCTACATGTCAGTCACTATTCCCCCACACACTCAGCAGTAGTTGGGGACCCTACATGTCAGTCACTATTCCCCCACACACTCAGCAGTAGTTGGGGACCCTACATGTCAGTCACTATTCCCCCACACACTCAGCAGTAGTTGGGGACCCTACATGTCAGTCACTATTCCCCCACACACTCAGCAGTAGTTGGGGACCCTACATGTCAGTCACTATTCCCCCACACACTCAGCAGTAGTTGGGGACCCTACATGTCAGTCACTATTTCCCCCACACACTCAGCAGTAGTTGGGGACCCTACATGTCAGTCACTATTTCCCCCACACACTCAGCAGTAGTTGGGGACCCTACATGTCAGTCACTATTCCCCCACACACTCAGCAGTAGTTGGGGACCCTACATGTCAGTCACTATTCCCCCCACACACTCAGCAGTAGTTGGGGACCCTACATGTCAATCACTATTTCCCCCCACACACTCAGCAGTAGTTGGGGACCCTACATGTCAATCACTATTCCCCCCACACACTCAGCAGTAGTTGGGGACCCTACATGTCAATCACTATTCCCCCCACACACTCAGCAGTAGTTGGGGACGCTACATGTCAAATTCTTGGCAGATTGTTGTTCTGATAAACCACATTTCCAACCTTGTCATCATAAGTGCTTTGTATTTTGTCAATAATTAAAAAAGCTAAGGCAGACGAGAGGGCTGCTAACAGAAATCAATAAAGAGAATGACAAACCTGATTCTTTTATTCCTTCATTTTCTCCAGTGATCCTTAGTGACTTCTCTGGAAGCTCTGGTTCATGCTGCTCTCGCGTCTCCCTCGCTCGCTCTAAGGAACCCTGTGGCTTCAGAATACCAACTTTGCCCCGCTTTCCCGACAACTTTTCCTGTAAAATTTATATACAATTTTTAGCTTCTTTAGGAAGCAAACATAACAATCTTTCCATAAAGTACAGATGTTAAGTATTATGCTAAGTCAGATGCAAAATGTCAACACTTAGTTTTTTTATTCTGGTGCTTTGAGGGGAACAAACATTTATGTCCACCAACATCCAGAAGTCTCATCTGAAATCTTAAGTAATTACCAATCTGAAATCGTATATGCAAACTTCGTGGAGTTCAATCTGGAATATGGAGGGTCTATACTGATAACATACAGCATAATATTCTCAATATGCTCAATACATCAGCTCAGATGAGGTTTTTGCATTTCAATGGGAAATTACAGCCTCACATATACCTTACCTTAAGGTGCTTCCGGGGCTTAGTGTCCCCGCGGCCCGGTCGTCGACCAGGCCTCCCCAAAGGTATAAAGGTACAGTACAATATAACTTTACAATTTAATTTAAAAAATGGTATTGTACAGAGCAGTATTAAAACAAAGAAATTGGTGAACATGAAAATGCACCAAATAAATCTCAAATCTGTGTAAAACTGTTAATATTTATATTTAAGTGCCCACTTAGTGCACGTCGGCAGTAGCAACCTAGTGGACAGTTAGATAATTAACAAGCACATAGCTTGGCAATCTGTGATAACCATGCCTGAAAAGGCTTTCAAGTTTATGTAAAGCACTTCCCTATCTAAACTACTGGCTAGACTGAGCATTTATATTGTCTTCCTAACTCCAGTAAGACCCAACAGCAATGGTTTGAAAAGCTCCCTGCTACTCCAGTGTGGAACTGCAACCTGCCGAGATGATCCTAACCCAAGGTTAGTGAATCTTGTCTTTGGAAGCAGTTGAATGGAATAGCTCAGAAACAAAGAATTAAAAGTTAAAAAAACGGCAATGTGGAGACGCAGGAAATGAAGTAGACTTCCAAGAAGCACTGTACTATGAACAGCATTAATCCATATAGCAGGACAAATAGTACTTTACCATATGAATGATTATTCCTAAGAACTACACATAACATCAGTACAAAGCACCAGTGGATATTTAAGCATACTGAATCACCTCTTACCTCAGGCTTGGTCTGTAGAGAGAGCTGTTCAAGGGCACGCACTTCATCAACAGGTGGGCTTGAGTGCTTCATTGGTTCAAATGTCAACCCACCTGGTGCATCTTGACTCCCTTCACAAATCTGATACAAAGGCAATTTGGTAATATGTTTTCCTAGACCAAAAGTATATATCTGTCCTCTCCTGTTATGAATAAAAGGAGTCAAATATCTACTTACCTAAGAAGAGGAATCTAATACAGTAAGGAAAAGATCAGAATAGTATGTTATAGTACATTATTCTGTGTTGTTAAAGCTTTTTTCTTTGATCAATATATCATCAATCACACCACCTGTTGATATTTTATTACAGTGCAGTGCTTCCAGTTATACAATTTATTTTCATAATAATAATATACTAGCTACATAATTGGAACTACATAAACAATATGCAACATTAAGACTGGTAATAGAACAAGTATGATTAGAGAGATTGTCTAAAAAATTGTAATTAAGAACAATGTAAAACTACAAAGACTATGTAAATCTGTAGTTTTAGAACAATAATAAGGGATAATTATTCTAGTTTCTAGAATAATATTAAGGGATAATTATTCTAGTTTCTAGAATAATAATAAGGGATGAATGTGCATTAGACAAATTATTAAATGTTAAGGACTGCAGATATTCAGTGATTCTATGATCACATGAAGAATGGTTAAATAAAAGCACCAAGGTAGGAGGAAACAAAATTTTATATAGGAGTAAATTATCTGTATTCATCTCCATCCTAGAACATTTTTCAGAGAATATACATGTTGGTTTGTCTTCTTTTAAAGTGAAGCAAGAATGCATAAACAGTATATATATAGGAAAGCTAAAATTGAGGTGGATAAAATGGAGAAAACTAACTGTGGCAAAACAAAAGGAACTCTTCATAAGGGCAGTGTTGACTACCTACCTGTTGATGATTTCGAGTGTCAATGTCCCTATGGACCAGGTCTCCTTTATACAAAGGTACAAAAGTTTGTTTCCTCCATGGTAGTGCTGTCATTAGTGATTTAAAGTCAACCAGTTAACTGTACCATGGGTAGGGAAAAGATACAAACTATATATTAAAAGAAATTTGTTTAACAACTTTTGTTTTCTCTCTATGGTGACTTACTTTGATCACAGAATTTCCATCAATGTCTTGTCCTGCAAACCACTTTGCAATATCAGTAAGTCGGGAAGCTCGTATACAATTGTATTCTTCTGGACTTGGTTTAGATAGACCTTCACGGTACCTAAAAATTATAATAAATTATAAATTACAAAATGATATATAATACAGAGGAACCTCGGGTGACGAGCAGCTCCATCTACGAGGATTTCAGGTAACGTGCGAGCCACTCACAGTAAAATTGTCTCGATTGATGAGCTTTCCCTCGGTTAACGAGAAAATCATGTGGTGGTGCTTCCTAGTGTTCCCACAGGTTCTCTCAAATTCTTGGATGCCTTCGACAATGCAAATCAATGATATTTTTTTTTAAAGATGCTAATGATACTGGGATGTAAAGGGGTGACTGCTGTAATGTTGCAAAGCATTTAATTTTATTTTAGTAATTAAAACAAAATTTAAAAAATTTAAAAAAGAAGAAATGTCAAATGGTTCGTTCAGTGTATGTCAGGTAGGCTGCTCCTTTTTCTATAAAAAAAAATAAAAAAATTGAATATCATATTGATCTTTTTCGGTGATGAAACGGATTAATTTTATTTCCATTATTTTAAATGGGGAAATTCGCAAGATGAGCATTTCACATGACGAGCTCGGTGCTGGAACGGATTAAATTCGCTAACCGAGGTTCCTCTGTACAGGTATTTATAATAAATACCATGTAATAATAAAATATTCCCTAATGTTGGCCATCAAACTGAAAATAAAGAAATTAAAAACTAGCTTTGAATCTACTATGGAAAAAAAAATGTAAGAACTTCATAAAGAAGTTCACTTCATAAAGCAAGAGCTTATTCACCTCTGGATAGGATTTGTCATAGTCAGCACAAATCAACATTCTGGACTGATGCAACAGGGAACTTCTCAAAAAAGTTTCTGCCCAATCTTACTGCTACTTGGGAGACATTGGATGATACTCAATCCAGGCCAAAATGTAGACAGAAAAATGCTTTCCATAAGCCCCAAATAATTCCCAGGTGCAACATGGCAACACAAGATTACCACTCTAGACCTGGCTATCTACCTACCAATAGGTCATCGTGCCACTGTCGACCACCGGGTGACAGAGTATCTACACCACAATAATGTCTTGCAACCTAAACCCTTCTGCATTTCATCTTAAGGTCGAAGAGGAAAGAATAGGAATAGGACTGAGTGTAATGAACAGAAAAGGAAATTTCATATACACTCAAACTTGGATTTCTCAGCTATTCCACTCCGTCACTTCCTAAGGCACTGCAATAATGTTCAGGCTCCTCTGGGATGCAGAATTTTAGCAGAGGCATGGTGGAGAAAAAAACCCAGCACTGAATGTAATGAAACACCATTTTCTGGGTGAGCCCCAGAGGCTCCCTGGAGCCATCGGGCTAATATGATACATAAGACCGGGGCATTAGTCTATGGAGTTCAGCCTACCGGGGACCATGAGCCAGAACCTAGCCCCCTCAGAGAGGTTACCTTGAGGTGATTTTGGGGCTCAGCGACCTCGCGGCCCGGTCGTCGACCAGGCCTCCTGGTTGCTGGACTGGTCAACCAGGCTGTTGGACGTGGCTGCTCGCAGCCTGACGTATGAGTCACAGTCTAGTTGATCAGGTATCCTTTGGAGGTGTTTGTCAAGTTCTCTCTTGAACACTGTGAGGGGAGCTGCGCAGACAGCGGCGATGTGTGACGTCATGCTCATTTGCTTGTTTCTTTTTGGGAAGTTCTATCCACTTGTTCACCTTTTGGTGGCAATTTTCACCAGAATAGGAGTTTGTTTTGGGACGCTTACCTTTCTGGGTGCCTGATCCGGTCGATGGCAGACATAGAATGCTTCCAACCACACGGGGGTTTCTATAGGCCATTGCTCCCCATGCCTCTCTGAGGGGGCCCGGGTTCTGGCTCGTGGTCCCCAGTAAGCCCACAGAACTCCATACACATGACTGATGCCAAAGTCTGACATTAGCATATCAGCCTGGATAAGCTCCGGGAAGCTGACGGGGCTCCTCCCAGAAAAACAATGTGGTATTTGACCCCCAGCCCAGGGCACAACTAGGAGGCAAGATCAGTAATGAGGGATGAGATGTGTCGCACATAAAAAGATGACCCCAAGTGTCAATGGCTGAAGACACCTCGTGTCTGGCCAATCCAGGCCTTGCCCATCCTTGGAAAATTAGCATGCAGCCATATTTGATGCCAAGTACTTAGAACTCAAGTAAATAATTGGATCTACAAATCTTCATGTTGTGAACCTGCTCATCATTAATGGTTGACAGCAGTTCATCCGAAATTAAAGACAAATAAAATAGGAAAAGCTTGTCTGAATGAAATAACTATAGGTATTAAAAATTTAGTTGATAACCAAAAACTTTATTTAATAAATCTACTTTGTTGTCATTTAATTATAGACATTAATAACTTTTAAACTGAGTAATATATGATTTCTAATATGAATCTATAAAAATATGTAATGTGTGTGCCATTTGAACATCTTTTATTTAAATTTTTATCTTGACTAGCAATAGTCCCTGTCCGAAATATAAGCAAACTGACTGACCCATAATTGAGTGAACATAAGGCTCATAATTTTATGGTACAAATTTCATGAATAAATGTTAACCAGTAAATATGGTAATAGGTAAGAATATACAAATAAATTTACTTGTATTTGCTCAGCATTTTTTGTAGTGGTTCAAAGCCTTGAAGGTCCCAGTCTTCCACTAATGGCACCTCAGAATCTGAAGAAAAGAAAAGTTGAAGTTTTAACTGAGATTAAAGTCTTGTACTCACCTAGTTGTGCTTGTGTGGGTTGAGCTTCAACTCTTTGGTCCCTTCTCTCAACTGTCAATCAACTGGTGTACAGGTTCCTGAGCCCATTGGGCTCAGGACATCGGGAAGTTTATATCTACATTTGAAACTGTGTATAGAGTCTGCCTCCACCACATCACTGCCTATAGCATTCCATTTGTTAACTGCCCTGACAGTGAAAAAATTCTTTCTAATGTCTCTGTGGCTCATTTGGTTAATAAGTTTCCACCTTTCCCCCCATGTTCATGTTCTGCTATGCTAACAAGTTCATCTTTATCCACCCCTGTCAATTCCTCTGAGAATTTTGTAGGTGGTAATCATGTTTCCCCTAACTTTTTTGTCTTCCAGGGATGTGAGGTTTAGTTATAGATTGGTACTGAAGTTTCTGAGCACATTAAATAATGACATGAAATTCAGCATAGGAAAACAGCACATTTAATATTTGAGCAGAATTACATAAAAATGTCACTAGGAGTATTACAATTTTATACTTACATTTACTAGCATCAAAAGACCCTAAAGGCTGCTGTAAGTTGTTGACTAATGTGCAGAGTCCTGGCCAAATCTGCTGCTTATTCTTCATTGCCTCTGACATGAACATACCATTCTCGCAATGAACCCATTCAAACAAAAGGCGAACTGTAAGAAATGCATCTAATTATAATGACATCTATAAAATACTCTAATATATGCCAGAATTTTTAAACAAGAATAAAATATCTATGTTGATTGTAAGGAAATGCCTCTTTCTGGTAAAGTCCAGTGGCTCCCTGAAGTTATCTTGCTGAGATAACCACTAGAGATAACCTTGCTGAGAGTGCTACTAGCTACTAGGTCACAGCAGTCACAGGCGTTCTCTTTGACCTACCGGGGACCAGAGGCAAAATTTGGCCCACCAAAAGAGGTGCAGATAGTGAATTACATTCTGCCACTCCACCGGGAAAGCATCCAGAGAGTCAGCAAAGCATTACAGACAACTGCAAGGTTCACAGAAAACAAAACCTTGAAACTGCCAAACAACTCCCCAAACAATTCAATACAATGATCGAAACATTTGAAACTACCTCAAGCCTGTTAGTACTGTACTGATAACCACCACCAGGTGTCTTGGAGCCATAGCTCCAGAATGCCAACCCTCTCAGGCCCGTTTTGGAGCAGATGATCAAAACACCAATGAATTAACGCAACTTTTAGGGAGGAGGAGGGGAGGTGTCAGAAAGCCAATGGATTTCTATCAGAAAGAGGCATTTCATTACATTCAATGCAGGTTTTCTGGAGAAGCCCCAGAGAGGAAATCAGCCCTTTTGGAGAGGAGCCAAAGAATTGTAATACCCGAGGTAAGGCCTCCACCCTGGTGGCCCGACACTCGAAGGGTGAATACCCAAACACACCAGAGAAGTAACTCGGTCAGTGCAGGGGAAAATGCTAATGGATGCTCAGGGAAGGAAACCCTGAGCTCATGTGACCCAAAGCACCAAACGAGCCAGTCCACACAACAAGCCAGATAGAAAACATTCGTGAAACAAATACCAAAAATTTTAATAATGTACAAGAAAATGGCCCTCACAGCACAAAGTCCAAGGATGGTTGAAACTTAACTTAAAAGCACTGGGGCCTGCCACTTCCAATGGCGACCCAGAAACATTACAGCAGAGCACATAGCACTGCATCAATGACAGAACTGACTAAGGAGGGTTGGCATAGTGGAGCTGGGGCTCTGGGACACCTGGTGGTGGTTATCAGTACTAACAGGTTTGAGATGGTTTTGAATGTTTCAATCATTGTTTTGAATTGTTTGGCCGTGTCAAGGTTTTGTTTTCTGTGAACCTTGCAGTTGTCTGTAATGCTTCATTGACTTTCTAAATGCTTTCCCAGTGGAATGGTGGAATATTACTTACTTTCTGTGCCTCTGTGAGTGGGGGTTAGGTTCTGGCTCTGGTAGGCTAAATAGAACTCTCATGACTGATGTGATCTAGTAGCTAGGAGCACTCTCAGTGAGATACTGTAGCTTCAGGAAGACAATGGGGACTCCCCCAGAAACTATAAATTATACATTAAAATGAATATGGATATTTGGAAAATATAAAAAGCCATTAAGGCTATTACACTATTAGCCTTGCACATACAGATTTAAATAAGAACACCTGCAGAAGAGTCCCTCACCTGCAGGGAGGGCTGGATACGTCATGAGCTGGTCGGGATCACGGATAGTATGCACAGGCAAGAGAAGGGCTGCCAACACCCCCACAGTCAACTCCTCCACCACATGCAGACATCCATCACATCTGAAATACAAATGCCGTAAAGATATAATTGAGTAAATGACTGTTTCATGGACTTCACATATCACAAAACCTGCAACTGACTCATACCATGCACTGACATCTTTCATTTCAGAATGTTTTATATTTATATAAAATTTATTATATAAAATTAATTGACATTTATAATTTCTAAGACCGTTACACAGATCTGAGAATTCTACACTAATTACTGTCTTCATCTACTTAATTCAGTACAAGAGATGTAAAATATTACTCTTTAGGATCTCTTGGTTTTTCTAGTTTCTCTTCATCCTTCTTGCTGGTGGTAGTCTCCTCACTTGTCTTAATCTTAACTGCTCCAGAAAAATAGTTTAGGGCAAACAGATTCACCAGGACCATCTGAAAAGAAATTGCATTTCAAAAGAAATTGCAAATTGACATTTCTAAAAACACTAAAAAATATATATGTTTTGGATAGAACATCCTAGGTAACATACTAAGCTCAAGACGATGCATGCAGCTCCCTGACACAATGTCCAGAAGCTAACGCTAACAAGGCAGTCTTAAGCATGCAATCCTGCAGCAACATAGCCCCTAGAAACACAGAATGACAAGACTTCCAGCACCTTGTTCGAAGACTAAAACAGCTGCAGAAAAGAATGAGCAGGCTGGAATTTAAATGCAAACCAAAACCCAGCAAGAAAGGCTTAGCTGAAGCTAGATGATATGAGGCTTCACTAACACTTATGAGTGTTAAGCATGAGGTGGCACTCATGAGACAGCCAGACACGAAACTTAATGACCAACAAAACTGACAGATGTGAAACCCGATGATGGGAAAGACACTGATGAATAGCTTGCTAAGTCACCTCAAAGACACCTGCTGGGCAATCTGGTGGAAACACCAAAACTCAAGATTAGATTTGTACAGCTAACAGACACCAAATACCATTGATTCTTTATGAGAGCATAAGTAGCATACATAACCAGCAATATTATTTAAACTTCCTTTTCTAGCGTACCCCAGATAATGATGCTGTACTCTGTCCCATCAATTAGCCAAAGTAGTCATTAAACAAAAGCATGTTAACTACTTCAATCCTACTTCAGAGTTCTGCACTGCAGACCAAGCCTTGCAGCCCTTATTGGCCAGGTCTAAGTCAAATTGAGTCTTCCACTAAAGATGAATCAGTATTCAAAGAGAAGATAACTTTATAAGAAGCAGATCATCACCATGGCTCAAAGAAAAAAAGAAAGAGGGAAGATAGACATAAACAACTGCCATTATATGTTAGGAAGCATTCCAACCATGACTCTTACACATGACACAATGTCCAACAATGAGCCAATTTACTGAGAATTTCTGGCAGCTTGGTCAGCCACATGCAGATAGTCAGGATAGTTGGATTAGTGGGGATCAGAAAATTCCGAACACTGTTTGCCAATTAGCAGTTTAAAAACAATTTTCATAGGATGCTTGAATTTTTATCAATTTTCCTTTACAGTGGTAGGCAGTGGTAGATATAAAAATTGGGTTAAACTCTTGATCCCACGAGCTCCCCAGCTGCAAGAAGGGTCTTACAGAGATTACTATGTACCAGCTCAGAAGCTGGTTATTGATGAATCCCTTGTGCTTTTCAAAGAACATGCTGCCTTCAAGCAGTATATTCCCTCAAAATGCCACCAATTTGGACTGAAATTCTTTGTGCTCTGTGACTGTGAATCAGGAATGGTGTTACACATGATACTGTATTTGACTACAAATGTAGACATTCCTGGTAATGACACACATGGCTTCTCAGGTAGTGTGGTGAAGGCACTGCTTGCACCATAGCTGAACAAGGGCCACATATTGTACAAAGATAACTATTATACCAGTCCCTTGCTAACCAGGTTCTTGCTTGATAATAGAACTGGAGTGTGTAGCACAGTAAAACCAAAACGAAGGGAAATGCTTGTGTTTGACACTGCTATGCAAGTAGGTGATTGCGAGATAAGAAAAAGTGGTGCAATTCTTTCAGTCCGGTGGAAAAACAGACGTGAAGTGAACATGTTAACCACAATTCACCCTGGTACAATGGTGGGCAGTGGCAAGGTGAACAGAACAACAAAACAAATAATCTATAAGCCAGATTGTGTGATGGACTACAACATCAACATGCATTTAGTTGATAAATGTGACATGATGCTGGGTGCTGTAGAGTGTGTACGGAAAACAGTGAAGTGGATAAAGAAAATGATTTTCCACCTTATTGACGAAACAATGAAAAAACCAGCGTTGAATGTAATGAAACGCCATTTTCTGGGTGAGACCCGGAGGCTCCCCGGAGCTTTACCGGCTGATATGCTAATGTCAGACTTTGGCATCAGTCATGTGTATGGAGTTCTAGGGCCTACCGGGGACCACGAGCCAGAACCTGGCCCCCTCAGAGAGGCAAGGGGAGCAATGGCCTATAGAAACCCCCGTGTGGTTGGAAGCATTCTATGTCTGCCATCGACCGGGTCAAGCATCCAGAAAGGTAAGCATTCCAAAACAAACCCCTATTCTGGTGAAAATTGCTACCTAAGCCGAACTAGTGAATAGAACTCTTCAACAGAAAACACGGAAACTAGTATGACGTCATACGTCACCGCGCCGCTGTCTGCGCAGCTCCCCCCTCCCCGGGAGGGGGAAGGGGGAGCCCCAGACCTCCCACGCCGGCTATCCACCCATCAGTTCTGAGGCTGGATGTCAAAACACGCGAAAAACGCCGACCGGAGGGAGGGAGGGTTGCCGGGGAGCCTCCGGGTCTCACCCAGAAAATGGCGTTTCATTACATTCAACGCTGGTTTTCTGGGGGGAGCCCCGTCGGCTCCCCGGAGCTAACTACCCACAGAGGAAGGTCAAAGGGACAAAACCGGGAGGCGGACACCACGCACCCCCCAAGGAGGCGAGACAACCGGCAGCAAACGCCAACCCAAGGCGCCACAGCCCCGAAAATCCCGGGAACAACACGAGAACCACGAGCAGCAAGGCCCCTGCACGAACACCAAAAATCCATGCCCGAAAGACTGCAAGGCCACGTCGCCCAGACGGCAGCGAGAGCAGCGAAGCCACGAACGCCACAGGCATGAGGGAAGAACACAGGCAGCTTAGCCGCAAGAACACGGCTGACCACCCGGGACACCATCACCCGCGAACCGGGAAGAACAGAACCGGATCAACGCAAAACGCGCTCCGGACCCAAACGCCGTGGCACGCAAACAACAGCAGAGGGCCGCCACTGAACACAAAAACGACACACCCCCGGCCCGACCAACAAAGCACCAACAAACCCTGGACCCCTCCAGAATGCAGCAGCCCCACCCCGCGCCAGAAAAGATGGAGACTGCTGCCATCAAACAACCAAAACGCTAAAACCGAAGGAGCAAGAAAACACAGCGAACCGACCCCCAGAGGCAAAGGCCCAAAGGAAAGAGCCGACGAAAAAACACACCGGAACCGAAGGGGCACTACCAACCGAGGAGAAGACAGAGCACGCTGACCAGAGACCAGGATGGTGCAAGCGGCGCACGAACAGGCCGGAGGTGAAATGACGCACAAGACAGCTGACTAACGGTGCAGAAGCAACACCAAGACCGAAAGCAAGCTGAAGCGGCTCCGCCTGCGCCGCACGAAAAGAGGCGACAGTATGTGGCAAGACGACGGCCCCCAACCCCCACTAGAAAACCAAGCCGAGAGTAAACCAAGCCAACAAGAAGGACCCACCGAAGAAGGGACAGGAAAAGGAAGGACCGCCAAAATACCCCATACTGCCGCCAAGAAAGCACGCAGGTGGGACACCTACCACGAAGCCACCCGACCACCAACCGGAGGCGAGACCACGAGGCAGAACATAAGCAGCCCCGACAAGGCCCCCCCGAGCCCAGGAAAAAGGCGGAGCCGCGAGAAGATCTCGGGCGCGACCACCGAAACCCAGGCGGCACAAGGAGATGGAACGTCTGCCGAACAGAAAAACTCCGAAGCATGCAAGCCCGCCAGGAGTTCAGAAACGACGGGTCCGACGCGAGACATCGCAAGAACCCCCCCAAAAAAAGTAAAACAACAACAACCGGCAGGGCAAGCTAGGAAAACCAAAGAAGGCGGAAGGGTCGCCGCCAGAACAGGACCCGAACCAAGGGGCACGAACAACTGCAACAGACCGAGACAAAGAAGCACATCACAGGACACAGGCTGACCAACGCCTAAGAACACACGCAGAACATTCCTGCTGCAGAAGAGGCAGGAAGAAAGAGCAGAAGCACAGAAGCAAAAAAAAAAAAAAAAAAACCAGGAGAACAACCAGGGGTGGACAATCAGGCAGGGACAAAAACCCCACGCAATCCCCAGGCACAAAACGGCAGCAAAGCGCCACTCCACAACCGGACACAGGAACAAGGACACGCCACCGTGAAACACGGTACCAATGCTCACGTGCAGCAGCAGCAGCAACAGGCACCACTGCAACATGCAACATGTAAATAGCAACTCCCCTCTGCAAAGGCAGAGAACGGAGCAGGCAGACCCCAGACAGGGCCAACGGAGACACGACAAAACCCTGCAGGCCCAGAAACCTGCACCAGGCGACCGACGGCGGAGAAACCCCGCTCGATACCTGCTGGATGAGGTACTGGGAGCTCTTTTACACCTCAAGCCCGGCCCAAGGTCAGGCCAGACCGGCCAGAGGATGGCCCACCAGGCAGCTGCTAGGAGCAGTCCACCGGCCCACATACCCCCACAACCAGGACGGGCCGGAACTGCCATACGAAAACAGGCCAGTGCGCCCTGGAAGTCCACGGACGAACCAGCAAGAAGGCTTATGCTCGCAAGTAGGTCGTGTAACAAGCACAGACCACTGATGGTAATACAGTGTTCCCCAAAAGTGCCAATAGCACCACTGCACTCCACTGGTACTATCCCGCAAGTTCTACCAGATAGGCGGGACCCAAGAGCCAGAGCTCAAATCCTGCAAGCACAGCCAGGAGCCTCACCAGGTGAGTACAGAACCAACCCTACAACCCCCACACCTCACAACATTAAAAAAGGAGGGTCCCCTGAATGACTCCAGCATGGGTTGGACATGCACATGAGGGGGACAGGAAGGGGTGATAAAGGGACAGTCACTGGTGTGCGAACGGTCTCAGTCGTACAAAATTATACCTAAATAAAGACAGGTATATGAACACCGCCGCATCCAGCGCCCGGCCAAAAGACGCCAGACCGCAGAAACTCACCTGGCGAATGGTGGCTCGAACTTGACACGACTCAACCGTGCCCAGAAGAACTTGGGAGCACCGCCAGGTGAAGACGCCAGAGCCGGACCCGCAGGAGAACAGGGAGAGGCGAAGGAGGCGGTCCACACCCATGACACAGAAAACCG